GTCATGGCCTGGGACCCCAGATACCTGAGTTTTCCGGGGGTCTAACAGTTCAAGTACTTGCAGATGGTCCCTCTGCATCTGCCCTGCCACCAGTGCAGTGTACTCTAATGCTGATCTAAGTCATAGCTGAGTTTTCTATAAGGACCTGCAAAGTTTCAGGGGTTTATCATGGTCCACATTACAGCTGCTGGTGAATCAAGCCAAAAGATACATCTGCACAGGAAATTCTAAAGTCTCCATCTGGAGCATTAGCCTACCTATACCTGTGCTGCCCAAGCTTTGGGAATGTGTATTACAGGAAGTCTCTTGGCTGCCAAGGCTGATGTGCTGGAATCTCATAGCCACAGGGACCCGCACAGTCTGGGTGTTGGGTGGTAGTGAACAAGCCCAACCCAAGGCTGATGATGGTCTAAGCTGTCGTGTCCCACGAAGTCTCAGTTTTAATCCATGAGGTTTGGCCTGAGTGGGGGGGGGTGTGTGGACCTTGAAACTCCTAGCAACACAGCGGCGATAAAGACCAAACACAGGCATCTTGTCATCTTTAGAGAGCTCTCAGTTCCATGTTGTAGAACTAGAGTCATTTCTTTACTAGCCATCTTCTCTGCTGTTTCTTAACCATCATTTCCTCACCGTGAGGGAACCTTTTCTCTTCTTGTTCTCTCTGCTGTTTCTTAACCATCATTTCCTCACCGTGAGGGAACCTTTTCTCTCCTTGTTCTCTCTCCTCTGGTGGCTCGCCCCTCACTCCTGTCCTCTCTAGTTACTCACACCTCTGGCCCCTCTGCCCAGGTGCAGGCCTATTCAGATGCTTAGGCCCACAGAGATGCAAATAGGAGGCATATTAGCCTGAGGCCATGGCAAACAATAGTAGCCTTACTGGCATTAACAATACAATAGTGGGCCGGAGCTTTCCAGTGTTCCTGTTTAGTGAAACCCAAGGCTGGATCTCAAAATATTCCATAGCAGAAATATTTTAGTCCCCCACACTAAGCCAAAAATTGAATCTGTCCTACAAACTCTCAGGTCTCTTTCTTGATGCTCAAGCATGCCTAGAAGCTCCATCTAAAATTTGGGCTGTGTAGGGGTTTAGTTTCTATCTGACACAAGTCTTCTCCAAAGTAGGCAGAGTTCTGTAGTGGCTTTTGTGTTCTGCTCACAGAAAGTAGAATCTTGCTTTCTTCTTTGCTACCCAACATTGGGAGAGAGATGGTAGAGGTAATCCTTTAGCCAGTTAACACAGTTCTAGTGGCTCAGTCATGAATGCTGGCCTGGGGACAAGGCTTATGGGGTTCCGCTTGGCATTGGATTCCCCCCTGGCAGGCCTGATACTAGATTTGAAGACTAAGTCCTTACTTGATTTTTCTCCTCCCATTGCTTCCTCTTCTCTCTTCATGCTTCTTGAGTTGAAAGGGAGCTGATGTGTCAACTCTGTTCTTCCTGCTTCCTCAATGCATCCTTCCTTATTATGTTACTAACATCAGGTATGGTCTCTTACCTGTCTTAGCTCTTGTAAATGAATAGTTATTCAAAAGGGTATGTCTATGGTAATATTATCATTAGAGGATTCAACTCAGCTTCTATCTTGCTCTAGGTTCTATGACATTTAGGTAGAGGAGTAATGTTAGTACCATCTGTATGTTCCTATGTCTAATGAAGTTGAAAATCTTCCCACATATGAATTGTTACCTGTATATCTTCTTATATGAAATACCTATACTTGCCTTTTGCTCATTTTCTAATTGGTTCATTTATTTTTCAATAATACCTTGTACTCTTGTATGTTTTTTATCCTTTTAATTTAATTTTTTAGAATTTTATACATGAGTACTATGTTTATATCGTTTTCACTACTTTCTCTCCCTTCCCCAAATCTTTCTATGTGCCCTTCCTCTTGAATTCATGACATCTTATTCTATAATTATTATTGATATTTATGTAAATAAATATACTGAGTCTATTTGGTGTTGCTCATATGTACATGTATTTAGGGGCCACTTGGGATGGGATAGCCTATCAAGAGGCTTGTCCCTGGAGAAAACTGATTCTCCTACTCTCAGTAACCATTGATTTCCTGTAGATCTGCATCTAAGGGTGGGTACAGAAAAAGCTACAGCCTACTCTCAGTAACCATTGATTTCCTGTAGATCTGCATCTAAGGGTGGGAGCAAAAAGCTACAGAAAGAAAACAAATAAAGCTATAATTACTGAAATATGAACTACAACCAAGAAGACAAACAGCAAAAAGGCAACAAAATAATAGTTATCAACACACACTTTTCAACAATAACGTTTAAATATTAATGGCCTTAATTCTCTAATCAAAAGATAAAAGGTTAGATGAAAAGAATGAAAAACAAACTCTATATTTTTGTTATCTACAGGAAATTTCTTTTGCCTTCAAGGATAGGTATCACCTTAGAGTGAAAGGCTGGGGTTGGTGTAACCAGGAAACAAACATTACTATCCCAATGTGTGACAAAATAGACTTTTAGCCAAAATAAATCCAAAGAATTCAAGAAGAACACTTCATTCTGGTCAGGGGAACAATTAGCCAAGAAGATATTATAATCCTAAACATATATGCACCAAACCCTAGCACACCCAATCTCTTTAAAGGCATACTACTAGATTTCAAGATACAGATTAACCCCAAATCAGTAACAGGAGGTGATTTCAGTACACTACTTTCTCCAATAAACTGGTCATCAGGACAAGAAATAAACAGGGAAACATAGGAATTGAGTGGCATCAAAATGGACCTAGCAGATGTCTACAGAGTAGTCCACCAAAACACCAAAGACTATACCTCCTACTCAGCAGCCCATAGAACTTGTTCTAAAAATAGACCACATATTGGGATACAAAACACATTTCAACAAATATGGAAAATTTGAAATAACTACATGTATCCTATCTGACCACAATGTAATAAAGCTTAAAATCAATAGCAAAAGGATCTCTAGAATTACACAAACTCACAGGCATTAAACAACACACTACTGAATGGTGAATGGGTAAAAAAATCAAGAAGGAAATAAAAAATTTTCTTGAAAAAAAATGAAAATACAAACCAAAATTTCCTATGAGGGAAATTTATAGTTCCTAGGGTCTACATTAAAAAATCAAAAAGAGCACAAATAAACCATTCAATGTTGCAACTCAAGAGTTTGGCAAAACAAGAGCAAATCAAATCCAAATCCAGTAGACAGGAAGAAATAATAAAAACCAGGGAAGAAAAAAATAAAATAGAAAAAAAACAATGAATTTAAGAGTTGGGTGTTTTAAATATATACACGATTGATAGACCCTTAGACAAACTAATCAAAAGAAAGAGGAGTCGCAAATTATTCAAATAACATGTTAACAGGGAAATATTAGGTTCTGTAAACCTATTTTATGCTATTTTATGTAAAATCTAAAATTATGCTGTAAAGCATTCTGTTCTTATACTCTTTTGAGTCCTCTTTTAATACCTAGCAGTTCTTTATACTGCATTTTCTCTGTTAAAATTCCTGGTATGGATTTCATGCCCTAAATAGTCCTGGATGACATGTGATCTGTGGTAGTAATGAAGCTTTGGGTATGACTATGAAAGTGGTAAAGGCATTTGGAAGAGACGATCTTTGGGAAGAGATGTCAATAAGAGGAGTAATAAGAAGTTGGAAGCACAATCTGTATCAGAGTTAAAAATCATAGCAGAGAATTAAAGACCATGTTTTAAAGGTTCACTGGACCAGAACCTTTGCCACATTAAGCCCACAGCCATTGGGTGCTTCCAGAAATGAAGCAAAATACTCATTTTTAATGAATTATGCCAAAAATCCAAGTTTGAGGTCTGGCAAGCAAGCGTTTCTAAGCCTTATGAACAGAACTACATATCCCTTCTTTAAACTCCGGTTACTCCTCTGTTAAATCGAATGCTCATTTTTCTATTTGCCTCACTGAATGAGTGTGACAGGACTATAATATATGTGCTTGGCATATATACTAACACATTCACAGTAAAAATGAAGCCTTTCTACTTTCAAAGATGTCTAGATACATAAATTCTACAGCAATGCTTCTCTCCTCTCCCCTCTCTCTCCCTCACTCCCTCTCTTTAAGTCTAACCCAAAAATAACTTTTAGTATATATATAGATTATTTCTTTCACAGAATATGAGTTATCCTTCTCCTCCACTGAGGCTCCTCTGCACTTGATTTATTCTTCTCTGAAGGATTTTTTTTTTTTTATCACAAATAGCTTTATTCTGTGGTCACCTGTAACTATGCCCTGTCTCCTTGACTAACTGGGAAGGTAAACAGGACTGTATCTCACTTGAATGCATCTCCTGAACACTAGAAGGCAGCCTAGAATATAGTGGATATCTAGGGAATGTTAATAAGTAGTACACAGGGTTAGGGTGCAAGCATGGTTTACACTGGAAACAAATTTGACTCACATTCATTTGTGAGCCTATAGTGAAGAACATGGAGGTAAAGGGGGATATTTTGAAAGGGAGAGGTGGTTCATATATGTGGCATGTACAAATATGCTATATAAAGAGAAGAAACTCTTCAAGGCTTATTCTTTTATACTCCTTGTGTCAAGCTGGTCCTTTCCCTTGACATTGGACAAATCCCCTCTTGCCCTTTACTGATGGGGGAGGTCCTTCTGTGTATATGTTTATCTTATTGGTTGATAAATAAAGCACTGTTGGCCAATAGGAAAGCAAGTTAGGCAGGACTAGGAGAGGAGGAGATTCTGGGAAATGTAGGAAAGGAAGAGAGTCACCATGTGATCCCAGGAAGGATAAGTCCTTATAAAAATATATAGATTAGTAGCTATGGTTGATAATTAAGACTGAGCTAGCAAATAAGAAATCTTAGTAATTGACCAGCAGCATTGTAACTAATGTAAGTCTCTGTGTGTTATTTTGGGGGCCCTAAAGTGGCGGCAGAACCCAGGCAGCTGGCAGAAAGAGTTATCGTTACATTTCACCCTAGTCCCTACTTTCCTACCTTACGTATATATCAGTTTCCAGGCCATAGGCACCATGTTCAACGGCCTTCTCAAAGGACATGATGGTATTCTCTGGCCCCAACTATGGAAGAAAGAAACATCAAGCCTTATGCCTTGGAGTCTCTCCTCCCAACATTTCCTTTAAGGTAGGCACAGAGCTTGGGGATGAAAGGGCTTTGAGAAGCAGGGCTTGACTCCTGGAGCTGTCTTTTCAAAGAGGCTGACTATTCTCCTCTACCCAGTCAAACACTGGATATAGTAAAGAGAAGCTGATGGGAGTTAGATGGCCTGAGTTCAAATGCAATGTACACAAATAACTCCTCATTCTTGTCATGCCAAGATTCCCTTTCCTCTCCAGTATCTCTGATGTTTCTGAGGTTCCCTGCTCTGTTCCACATGCCCCGTACATACCTGCATTCATCCATGCTCATCATGCTCAGACCTACCATGGGTGCACCTCTGTGTCCAAAGAAGGCAGGCTTAGGCCCTAAATCCTTCTTCTTCAGAACGCAGGGAGAATAAATCCCCATTGGCATCAAATAAAGACATAAAAGAATAATAAGGAAGGGCAATCCAACAGCTATTTGTAGAGCTGAAAAGGTCGGAAGGGGAGAAAAGTGGGTAAAAAGGAAAGGAGGGATAGAAAACCATTTCAGACACCTAACTACCCCCAAAGTAGCAGCTAGTTTACTTTCTATTTCTCTAACATCCTTCCTTTCATGAGCTTAGATATAAATACACAGGATTGTTTAGATATAAAATTTTTTTCAGTGCTGGGTATTGAATCCAGGCCCTATGTATGGAAGGCTCTACCACTAACCTACATTTCAGACAAAGACATTATCAAGGCAATATTGCTGGAACTTGAAAGTAAAAATGGAAAAACTGTACAGAAGGTGGGTGGGAGGAAGGAAGGGAAGGCTAGATGAGGGAGGGAGGGAAGGGGAAGAAGGGAAGAAAATACAAGAAACAGCTTCTCAGAGAAGGAGCTTGGCTGGCTCTGAGAGAGCCCTGAGGACTGTAAAGGTCATCCTAAGTGACCCTCTAGCTTAAATCAGAGCAGTACAGTGGAAAAGGTACTCACAGAAATGTGAGTTCAAGGCTAAGCTCTATCACTTCTTACTGTAACCAAGGACATGTGATATAACCTCTTGGAGTCTTCATCCTTTATCTGTAAATTAGGTCTATCTAGCAGCTAACAATCTCACAATGCTATTATAACAGTGCTGGCTCACAATAGCTGATAAATATTAGTTTTGTTTTGTTTTGTTTTGTTTTGTTTGTTTTTGAGACAGGGTTTCTCTGTGGCTTTGGAGGCTGTCCTGGAACTAGCTCTTGTAGACCAGAGTGGTTTCGAACTCACAGAGATCCGCCTGCTTCTGCCTCCCGAGTGCTGGGATTAAAGGCATGTGCCACCAATGCCCGGCTTGTTTTTTACCTCTTCTTTCTCTTCTTCACCCTACATACCTCCACCCACATCCATCTCCCACATCACAGCCCATCCTTACCTCCTATTATCAACTGCTTCTCAACACCTCTGTTTTAGACCTCTGGGGATCCTACCCACTTGTACATTTTTAAGTTACTACCTATTTGCTTCAGCGACTTTCAAATTGAGGTCTCCAGTTCTAACCTTTTAACCTTGTGAATATATGACATCCCTCCAGGATTTCATTCTCGTAACCTGACATCCTGTATCTTCTTATTCTAACTAAAATAAAGAAAACAGTTTATTATTGTTCCATTTAAGCTCCTATCCAAGAACTATTTTCTAAAATTTACTACACACACACACACACACACACACACACACACACACACACACACACACACAGAGGCACACATGCACATGAGCACATGCACACACCATCCCTTCACTAGCCTGTATCCTCCCAGAACCCAGGAAGCAAGCAAGAGCCTTTTATTTAACCAACAGTGAAAAGAGAGATGTAGAAATAAGACCCTACAACTTTTCACTTGCAAAGCAGTTCAGCATACAGCGCTCACTGTCTTGTTTCCACCAATATTGCATAAGAATGGAAAGGAAGCCAGCTTCAGAGGCAGCCATTCCTGCTTCTTTGAGTTCCTAGGGATGGCAGGGGTCACAGGTGACTTCTCTGAGTTACCTGATGTAACCAAGATCACTGGACATAGTATTAATTGAAACCAGTGATGTTTGTGTTATGAATAGGCTAAATCTTATAGTAGCACTCAGGTCAAAGCAAAATTGAGATGCCCTCTGCTGTCCCTATCTGCCCCAGATAAATGATGTACATTAACAAAGGGAAAATGATGCTTTCCTAAAAGAATCCTTTGAAGGATGTCTTAGTCATAAGAAATACTATGGTAGGCCACAGGGGTCAATCAGACCATAAAAACCTGCCTACATAACAAACTAAAGAACTGTCAAAGGGGCACATGGGTGGCTAGCTACCATCGGTTTCTCTGAGTGGAGTATACAAGCTGGGAAGATCTGGCAAGATTCCACTTCATATGACATACCTTCTGATTCCAAGTGGGCCATACCGATGGCTAGAGGCCAGGAAAGGATAATCATCACAGTTAGGAGGCTCAGGTGCACAAAGGGAGCAAAGATCTAGGGAAAAGCCAAAAGTCAGACTAGACTCATCTGGACACAGTGGTGAGCACTACAGGCTGATGCTTACCTGCAGTGACAGCCCAGCTATCAGCCACTTGTCTTTCCAGTATTTGTTTAAAACAGCTAGTAAGAAGGAGCACAGCAGCATTACTAGAAAAATGAGGACCTGGGGAAACAGAAAGGGCTTCTTAACTTCTAGGCACCCGATTTGGATCAGAACTGTCCTTGTGAATTGCATGTGATTATTTATACTACCATAGACCCTGTCTTTTCAATCTAACAACCTTGCAAGTCCTCAGTGATGAGTGGCTCCAATAACTCATCTTCATTGTTCCTAAGTATTTGTTTGCAGCATGGCTGGAAGGAATTACATAATTGTGTGGCTTGATGCTACTACCGATCTAGAATCTCCATTCTCAGCTAGGCCTTTTTCAATTATTTTTATCTTTAGCCAGCCACCTCATTTCATTACAAACCTTTATCTCCTCTTTGACTTTTTTTTTTTAAAAGGAAATACATCCCAAGATCTCAAATACATAAACGCAATATTACTAGCCTATTAGAAAACCAATTGCATCACAACAGTTGAACTGCTTTTTTTTTTTTTTAAAAAGGAAATACATCCCAAGATCTCAAATACATAAACGCAATATGACTAGCCTATTAGAAAACCAATTGCATCACAACAGTTGAACTA